GGGGGTTTGATGTAAGTAAGCTGTTTCAATCGGTTTATGCAGCACCGTAAGAAGGGGAATTTATGATATATGGATATACTTGATGTAGAAGGTTTTTCTATAATTTCCGTAAGTATATAACATGTAGATTGCTTGGCGATTCGGGAACAGGGGGGCTACGTAAGGTGGTGTACGTGGTGTTGGAAGGAAGAAGGGGGGAGGGGATGGTTTGTATCAGAGTAAAGTAGCCACGTTATACACGAGTTTGCCGCAGTGCTGCGCCCTTTTTTCTTTATTTGTGGATGGATGATTTGATTTTGGTTTTTGCACTTTTTTCCCCATGAACGCACCCCAGGGAAGGGGGGGTATGGGGAAAGAAAAAAATAAGTAAGTATTGACAACGAAATTAAGATAGTCTGTGCCCATTGTAATACTCCACGCTGATGCCCCCTCCCCAAAAAAACCAAAAGGATTAGGTCGGAACGCTTTGCGAAAGATTGTGTGTGATGGACAAGAAAGACAGAAGATGGGCTGGGTTTATGTATATTTCGCTGGCTGACTCTCTTTCTCTCTCTTTTTTGTAAGAAGAGACAAGAATAAGAAATACATACACTAAAAAACAAAAAAGAGGCGACTTTTCGTCCTGAGAGTATTTTTGGAGGGAGAGAGAGAGATGGGGTATTATATGCAAAACAATTCGCTAAAAAAAACTCTCATTTTTTGGGTTGGGGGTGGTGGATGGTAGTAAAAAGCCCACACTAGGCTAAAGTTCTACTTCATCTTCTTAAAAACGGAGCTGGACATCACGCGAGTGAAGCTCGAAGCGCTTGTCGATAGGAGCGGCCTCTGCCACGCGGGCGGCGGCGCGAGCAGCAGGGCTACCGTTGAGGCCGCTGTGGTCGGGGACAACGTAGTTCTTGACGAGACGCTGGACGACGTTTCCGTTGACGCCGTTGCTGAGGAGCAGGTTAGCGCTGCCGGCGAGGTTACCCGAGATGTCGTTCTTGCGGGCGGTAGCGAGGAGTTTGGCCTTGAGGGCGGCGGGGTTCTGGCCGAGGCCTGCAACGTCCTGGGTCATGAGAACGGCCATGACACCGGTGGTGTGGGGGCAGGCCATGGAAGTGCCGGAGAGGAAGTTGATGACGTTGTCGCCGGTGGACCATGAGCTGAGGATTTGCTCGCCGGGGGCGTAGATGTCGACGCAGCGACCATTGTTAGAGAAGCTGGAGATTTCGTTGTTGATATTGATGGAGCCGACGGTTACGACGTTGGAGTTTGCGCCGCCGAGATGGGCGGGAGTGCTGCCGCAGGCGTCTTGTCCGTCGTTTCCAGCGGCGACGGAGACGTGGATACCGGCGTCAGAGGCACCAGCAATGACTTCATCGACGGAGCTGGCAAAGCCCTGGAGACCCCATGACATGCTCATGATGGAACCAACGAAGCCGGGCTCAGTCTTGCGCTTGTTGTGCCTGGCAACGACCCAGTCCATACCCCTGATGGTGTCGGAAGAAGCACCAGATCCATCGTCTCCGAGAACCTTGACTTCGATGATGTTGGCACCCTGGGCAACACCAAACTTGGCGCCACCAGCAGTACCAGCACAGTGAGTGCCGTGGCCGTCACCGTCGACAAAGGAACCGGTAGCGGTGAAACCCTGGGAAGCACGACCAGTGAAGACAGCGTGGGAAGTCCGCACACCAGTGTCAATGACGTAGATATCGACACCAGCACCGAGCGTAGAGTCGTTGAAAGAGTAGGTAAAGTCCTGGCCTTGGGGAGAGCCCGAGGGGCCTTGGGCGCTAGAGATGCGCTCGAGACCCCATGGGGAGCCATCACGCTGCTCGACAAACGACTTGACCTGTGCCTTTTCCTCGACGACATTGATCTCGGCCATGCTCTTGAAGATGGCAGCATGGTCGTCACACATCTTGAGAACAACAACACGGGGGTTGACGCCTGGGCTCGACTCGAAGAGAATTGCATCGCCATTCTTGTTGAGCTCAAGGGCATCCATGTACCTTTCAATGGGCTCGGGCACAGTCTCGTTACGCCACCAAGTGACAATGTACTCCTTGACCTCTGTTGAGTGGTTGCTAGGGAGGGTGTTTTTGTTGATGAAGCCTGGGCTGGGGAAAGCAGCAACGAGTGAGGAGCTAGCCGCCAAGAGGCTAGCAGTAAGGGTAAAGAAGGACTTCATGGTGAATTACAGAATGGATCCTGTCCTGAAGGGGAAAAATAAAAGTGCTTGAAGGGAGAGCAGGAATTGAAGGATTGTTGATGGTCCAGGTGAATGCAAGTGCACTGTGGCGGTGTTAGTGACAGCTCTACTGTAGACAAACAACCAAGCCAAACGCTAGAGCAACAAGGAGAATGATGGCTGTGAAAGGGGAGCAGAGGGCATTGTATAGAAGAAGCACACAATAGCAAGCGGCATTCAAGTGAGACGCTGTAGGTGGACAAGCCCCACGGAGGCCGTGTGGGTATACGGCTGGACGGCATTGGAGGGTATACGTACAGGGCCAGGCGTGTGTCAGGCAAAAGGTCTGAGGTGATTGACGTATCGGCCAAGACGTGCCAGCACGCGGAAAAGAAAGCAAGGGAGGGAGTGAATGGAAGCCGGAGAGGCGTGGGGGGAGTGAATGAAGCAGTTGGCGAAGCAAGCGAGAGAGTCAACTCTTAATGAATGGAAGAGAGCGGGAGAAGAGAGCGGGCGGGCGTGGGAGGAGACGAGCAGAGGGAGCGCCATGGTTGATGTAGTGGTCTTGTCGCGTCGCATCGTCCAGGCGCTGGTGGCCAAGGGCAGCATAGAGGCGGGAGGGTCTGAAACAGGGCGTGGAGCTTGGCAGCGAGTGACATTGGGCCCGGGCGAGCAGGAACAGAACAGCGCAACCTGAGCCGTCGAGGCGCCCGTTGGCCGTGGGCCTCTGAGCCTCTGAAACGGCGTGGGTCGGCCGCCGCACTGCCCAAAGCAGACAGGCCCGTCCATGTGCTGGCCCATCTCATCTCGCCTCTTGTCCACTGTACATAGTAAGTAAGTAGCCGCGGGGCGTCTGGGCGCCGCATATTCATGCACACACACACCCTCTCCATGCCCTGACGCCCGTCCGTCTGGCATGACTTGCCCAGCTGACAGCATCCGACAGGCCCAAAACCAAACACCCACTCACGCCCGCGAACCGTTTCACGCCTCACTGACGACACCACCGACCGCCCGCTCTCGTACCACCCGTTTCCATTCTGCCTTGGTCGCGTCCCCGGAGAATTGGCCTTGGGCGGACCCTACTACTACTGACCACTGCCGTCTCTGGTACCCCAAAACTAGCTCCCGGCCGCCTGCACAACCACGGCCATTGTCGTATTGCAGGTCGAGTGTCTACTGTGTAAAGGACAACTCCCCCATGTCCGTTCTTCCTCGCTGCCTGTCGCTCTTCCCCCTGCCCGTTTCGTACGCGACTCGTGCGACCCATAGACCGATAGACTGGTTTCGAGGCGCAAAATGGCATGCATGAGAAAACGATTCTCGCCCACCACCACCAATCATCTCCCGCACCCCTTTGCAGCCTCAGTCAGACCTGCAAACCAGCAGTAAAATGGACAGCGCAACAGCAATCGGTCGCATAAACCGCATGCCCACCTCCAGCCATGCCTTCAACCGGACCCTCGCATAAAACGGAGAGCGGGACCAAACACCCACTCTATTTGCGCCGGCCTGACTCTATTCGTCTACCAACCACATGCATACCCCGGCCCGCCAATGCCTGCGCCTCACCTCCACCTAACGAGCGAGCGAGCGAGCGGCATTGGGTGGAGACTTCCCCCCTTGGTCGCACCAACTCGTACGCCCTCCAATCTATCTGCGCCGCACTCGTGGCTAGTTCCGGGCGGCGCGTTTACCACCCCCTTCCCACTCCAGTCTAGCCCCAATCCCCTAGCCCCAGTTTCCGGCGGCGCGTGAAACACAACGCCAAAAACCATGTGCCCTTGCCGGCTGCTTTCCTATTGCCTGTTAGCGAAGAGAGAGTGAGAAAAAACCCAATCAGAATTCGCTCTAAGTAGTAGCTACTCCACAAAAAATCACGTAAAACTATTGTTTTTTTCTTCCAACCGAAAGCTAAAAGGTATAGTTGATCAGCATGGACCACATTTTTATATTTATGTCAAGTCTTTTCCCGAGAGCGAACTTGGGCCTACTATTAGTTCTTCCTCCCAAGCGAGCGAGAACACACAGTAAACTCCAGGGGGGAGGGGGGTGCTCCCCAATCCGTATACAACACCACGCACTAGCGGGCGCCCAGAGCTAGTTCGTTCTTGACTCCCATCTATTCTGATACAAACACCCAATATATTCCATGTTCCCTTTCCGATTCTTCTAGAATGCCCATTCTTTTCGTCCGAACGCGCGGCAAACCCACTATATCCTTCCTCCATCCTAGTCATTTGTTCCCTCTCTATGACTTTCTCCCCCCCCCCCCCACTCTAAACCAGACAAACATGTTTAAAAAGGACAATTCGGACCCCTCTCCCACCCCCATCTTCATCCAAAACACCAGTATTTACTTTTTTCAGTACCCTCTGAACCTTCATCCCTTGTACGAGAAAATCGAACAAAGATGCAATTTACCTACCTATTAACCTACTCCTTCGGAAATCCCCTCCCGACCTTTCTACCTCACCCTTCTTTTTTTTTCGTGTATCCCCAAACACGTAAACTACAAAAACACGATCCATAAAGTGCTGCTGAGTCTTACGCGCGCGCGTTTTGCCATTATGAAACCCGCCCGTCTTTGCCAGCCCCTCCATCCCA